AAGCCTGGAAGGGTCAGGGACAGCCTGACCACAGAGGTGGCAGCATTTGAGCTGAGAGCTGGAACAGGAAGCGGAGGCAGCCATGGGAGGAATGGGGGGTGACATTTTAGGTGGAGGCGCAGCCTGTGCAAAGGCCCTGGGGCCGGACGAGCCTGGCCTGTTGGAGGCCCAGGGAGGAGCCCAGGCGGCTGGAGCAGAGGGAATGAGAGGGGGAGAGGACAGGGAGGCAGGGAGGGGACAGGGCAGGGGACTTGGAGAAGCCTACAAGGGTGTCGGTTTCACCACGCGTGGGGACAGCAAGACCTGATGAGGAAGGACTTTCTACAGAGACAGGAGCAGAGATCAGGGGCAGGTGTATGAAGCATCTTTGCCAAAGACTTCAGAGAAGGCAAGGCCCCGGCCCACAGCCACACAGCAATACAGGCTCCAACCTGGTCCTCCCTCACATTTCAGAGATGGGGGAGCCCCCAAGCCCTTAGAAACTTATCCCAGGAGGAAAAACACTAATAAGATGCCCGTGGCAGGGCTGCGGGGACAGAGTGAGGAGGAGGAGGAGGAGGAGGAGGAGGGGGGAAGGAAGGGGGGAGGGAGGGGGAGGGGGAGGGAAGGACCCAGCCGCCCCTCTGTGTCCGGGTTTGCGGAGTCTGGGGAGGGCGGCAGGCCCGCGGCAGAGCCCAGATTACTGGGGCTGTGTCTTCGCAGTGCGTAGCGGCTGATGTGGGTTTGGACGTAGGGTCTCCCATCGCGTCGCTGTCACCGTTTGCCTTCAGAGTTCCTACAGCCCGGCTGCCGGGCCCCGAGCGTCCCCTCCGTGGACACGCGGACACGTGGACACCTCCTCCCCGGCCGGGCTTGCCCTGCGCTCTCACGGGCGATTTACCACGGAACCTGCTGGACCCTCGAGCTTCTTGATTCAGGGAGCAGCTGGGGAAGCCGATTCCTGCTGCCTTGGAGGTTCCCGGGACGCGGCTGGAGCCGGTCCAGGCGGGATGGACACCGGACAGCGGCTGCTTCCCTGGCCTGTGTCCCCGCGCCCCAGGCGAGCGCCCCAGCCCGGGACCAAACTGGAGAAGCCACACAGCGGCCCCCGCGGGGAACTCTGGCTGTCTGGGGACGGAGGAGCCTGGGCAGGAGGCACAGCCAGTGCTCCCGGCAGGGACCCGCGTGTGGCTTCTCCAGTCTGGTCCTGGGCTGGGGCGCTCGCCTGGCCGCAGTGGGGGACAGAGCTGGAGGCGCGTCCTGGTTCAGATCTGCGTGGGGCCAGTTCCCGCGCCCCCTTTCCTCCTCTGTGACTCGGGCCAAGGCCGCGGGGAAGCCCTGGGCGCTGCATGGCACCTGGCAGAGGCGTCTCTTCAGCGCAGTCTGTCGGGGTGACTGTCACTCTCCCAGGGGTCTGCTGGAGCCCGAGCAGTGTCAGGGGGCAGCAGATTCTGGAAGGAGGGCGGCTCCCAACCCTCAGGTAGACTGGGCGCCAGGACCCGGCCCCAGAACCCCGTGCACCTGGGCTTGCGGGACAACCCAGAAGCCGGGTCTCCCTCCCACCACGGCCCTCGGGACAGTGTCCCTCTCCCTCGCCATCGCCTCCCGAGTGTCTGGCCCTGGGCTGGGCGTCTAGTGGGTCAGGGATCTGCAGCACTTTCCAGCACTTTCCGAGAAGGGCCAGGTTGTATTTTTGGTCTCTCAGACCACGCAGTGTCCGCCCAACTAGGCAGGAGAGCAGCCTGCAGACAGACAGACACAGTGGTGTGCCGATAAAACTTTATTTACAAGCACAAACCGGGGGCCAGATTAGCCCGTGGGCCACAGATTGCTGACCCCTGAGGTACGTGCCCAGGAATACTTGTTCGGGGTGAGAGGGGTTCCTGGAGGAAGGGGGGCCAGGAGGAACATTCCAGGAAGGGAAACTGTCTGAGGTGTGGACAAGGAGCCTGGGGCAGGGAGATCTGGAGCCATGGGCAAGGGCACGGAGCCCCAGCGTCTGTGCCCAGAGGGGTGGCCCTACCCCGGGGGGCCTGGGGCCAGGGCGGCTGCAGAGCAGGGCGGGGTGCCTCCCAGAAGACCGGTGCTCCCCCCCCCCCATCCTGGGCAGAAGTGCCAAGGTCCCTTTGGAATTTTAGGGTCTAAGAGGACCCCAAACACCCCTCCTGCAACTAGGTGCCCTTGAGAAGCCCCGGGCCTCCCCCTGCCACACCCGGCTCAGGCGGGACCTGGGTCCCACTCGAGGACCCGCGGGGCATGGACGGCAAGTCGACTGACCCTCTGGGTTTGCTTGGGGACGAGGAGCTCCCAGGCACAAGGGACAGTTAGAGCTCAAACCAGGAGAGCAGGCGCCGCTGCCACCGGCTCCCGCCGCCGCCCCGTGGGCCCCAGCTGCTGAGCGCTGGGCACAACCGCAGCGACAGTCACACCAGAACCACGCGGGCCTCGGCCCAGAAGAGGCGGGGAGGCTGGGAAGGGCGCGAGTGCTAAGGCCCCAGGCCACCCCGGCATCCCTGGCGACTGGCCACCGCCGGCAGGGGACAGCTCTGGCGGGAGTGCTGCGGGTGCGCCACCGGCTGGGGCCGAGCCCTCTCCCCCTCCTCCTTGGTGCAGTCCCGCGCCACCACCGCCCCCGGCACCAGCTCGGGCCTCCACCCTGGCCGCCTCCGCTCTCGCCCCGCGTCGCTCCTCCCCGAAGCAGCCGCCAGAGGGCGTCCGGGAGCAGCCAGCCGGGTCCTCCCAGGGCCCACAGCCGGCCGGGCCTCCACGGCCGCCCTCCCTCGGAGTCAAGCCCGAGGTCTTCACGGCCAACGTTGTCATCACTCAAGCCTCAGGTCAGATGTCACAGCGAGGCCCTGTGACCACCAGGTCGACTGTATCTACCCCCGGGGATGTCACCACGGGAAGGAGGGCAGGAGGGCCACGAGCAGGAGGGGTGGCCGGCAGTCGAGGAGGGCACCTCTGAGGAGTGGCTCCTGAGCACAGATCTGAAGGGGACAGAGTGAGGACAGTGGACCTGGGGTGCGGCGGCACTCCGGGTGCAGGGCCCAGCGTGCAAAGGCCCTGGGGCAGGGCTGAGTCGGGAGTGTTCGAGGGGCAGTGAGGCAGGGGGAGGGGAGAGGAAGAGGAGAGGGATGGGGCTCGGGCAGCTTGTGGGTCCTGCGAGGACCCCAGCCAAGGAGGACCCCAGCCAAGGAGGACCCCAGCCAAGGAGCGAGTGAGCGCCTGGGTGGAAGAGGAAAGCTGAGTCCGAGGGGAAGCCGGCCCAGGCCACTTGGCAGGGTTGTCCTAGTGCAGGTAGGTCCCCTTCAGCAGTAATCCAGGACACAAGTCCTGTTTGGGCCGGCGTTTCAGAGGTCCCGGTGTGCGGCCTCACTGTCACCGTGGGCCTGTGGGAGGCAGTAGCCAGGCCCCGCCCTCCCCACGAGGCCACGCCCAACACCTAAAGGCCTCCCCCCAGGCCCCACCTCTTCAAGGCTCCAGCACCTCCCAGTGGCTCTGGGGACCAAACCTCCCACGGGGCCGTTGGAGACCTTCCAGATCACACTATGGCAGTGGCCAGAGGGGGCTCAGCCTCCCCTGCCCGCCTCCATCTCCTCGTTGGGAAATGAGCCCACGGTGCTCTGTAGACAGAAGGTGAGCAGAGGGTGAAGAGGCTTCATCTTCGTGCTCTTTTTAAAATCCCCATTGGGAAGCCAGGCGCAGGAGTGAAGGCCAGGAGGTCAGGAGGCAGGGAGGCCAGGAGGCTACCCAGGCGGGAGGCCGGTGCTTCTGGTGGGGGTCTGCAACTCCCACACCTGCTGGGCTTGTTGAGGCCTCGCTGAGGACCAGGCGGTGGGCACAGCCCCTGCCCTGCCCTCCCACCTGCAGGTGAGAGGACCCAGGTCATTTCCCGTGAGAGCCACCGAGCAAGAGCAGCCGGGGCCCTGGGTGCTGCCTGGCCCCTTCCCTCCTCAGGAACACGCACCTGCGGCTGCCCAGAACAGGCCAGTGGCTGCAGAGAATCGGGAGCATCCCAAGACCCCCAGAAGGAAAGCAGCTTGTGCCCCTCCCGCCCCGGCGCCTGCTTGGCCTCCCCCGGACGAGGCCACATGCTGTGATTTATTTCATGGCAACAGCCTGTGTGTTTAATTGATCCTCTGTCGTTAGCATTTAGGTCGCATCTGATGGTCGCTACTGTAGATGGCGAAGTGACACCTCGGAACCGTCCCGCTCCCCTCTGATTATGCTCTCTAGGAACCGGGTGCCTCCAGTCCCAGGGCGTGCTCCCCTCCCCCTCCCCTCCTCTCCCTCCTTCCTTCCTTCCTTCTCTAAAACTGCTTCTTGGAGATCTGGTGGAGACCTCCCTGTGCCGAGGGCCCCTGACACCCAAGCAGTGCACTGACATCTGTCCCTTTAGGGAGCAGGGGCCGCGGGGTCGGGCCGCGGCTGCCCCGGGTGGACCACCTTTTCCCTTTCTCCCCGGGAATCTGCGTTGGTCACTTGTTCTCTGGATGGAGGATGCGCCCTGTGGGTAGTTTTCCTCCGCGCAGATTCCCGGGCTGAGATCCTGTCCCCGCCTCCGACCCTCAGGAGACAGCCCAAGTGTGCGGAGCCCGGGGAGGCCCAGCCGGCCGGTTCCTGTTCACACTCGCCTGCGGGGAAGTTCAGCTTATGCATGGGGCCCAAAGACGGCGACCTCACATATGAAGGTAAAACGACTGTCACATCCTGTGTGCCAAAGTGACCCGGGTGTGGTCTCCCATCCCCCCTTCTCTCAAAATATCTTGCACTTTTCATCTTTTCACTTAAGTGACACAGTTGACGACGTCTCTCTGGCATGAGTGAGTGGCCCGCACCAACACTAAGGGTCTCCTGAGCACAGCCTCGTGATGCTGACAGTGGGTCTGATGGCCAAATTGGCTACCAAGGGACTGCTGGGCAGGTAGCATATACGCGGTGGATCCTCTGGACAAAGGGATAATTCACACCCAGGGTGGGATGGGGGAAGCTCACCCAGACAGCCCTCAGTAGCCTATGAATGACTTGTTTCTGGAAGCTTCCGTTTAATATTTCAGGCGATGTTTGACCGCAGGGAACTGGACCCGGGAAAATCAAAACTGCACTAAGGGGACTGCTAATATGTCCATTCCCGCAGCACCCTGAGCCCCAGGGCCACTCAGTCTTCAAAGTTTTCCTTTTTTCAAGGCAGGGTTTCTTTCTTTCTTTTTGGTACCGGGGACTGAGCTCAGGGGCCCTCGACCACTGAGCCGCATCCCCAGCCCTATTTTGTATTCTATTTAGAGACAGGTCTCACTGAGTTGCTTAGACCCTTGCGGTTGCTGAGGCTGCCTTTGAGCTCACGATCCTCCTGCCTCAGCCTCCTGAGCTGCTGGGCTTAGAGGCATGCGCCACCGCACCCGGCAAGGCAGGGTCTCTTGATGTCACCCAGGTTGCCTTGGACTCCTGGGCTCAAACAGATCCTCTTCCTCAGCCTCTGGAGCAGCTGGGTCTACAGCATCCCTGGGCCGGGGTGACCAGAAAGTTTTTGATGATAATTTTGATGCTCATCACCCAGGCTCCGCCGTTCAACCGCCAAACGCAAGCCCTGTTGCTGCTGAGTCCCCTTCCCACCTCTCTTCAAATCGGGTTTGGTTTCCCCCGTTACAAGTTACCTCCAGTCATCGCTAACGGGACGATGACGAGGCCTGCGCCGTCTTGGTGTCTGCTGCGTCCCTGGGCCAGGCGCAGCTGGGCCTGTGGAAGGCGCTGGTGCCGGGGTGTGGGGCTGGTTCCTGGGCCGCAGACGGCGTCGCCTTCCTCCTCAGCGGCACGGTGATGCCGCAGGACACTTTGGCCACCTGGGAGTGTGGGTAGGGGTCGCTGGCCAAAATGGCCTGGTCCCCTGCTGTCACCCTGCACCTGATGGAAAGTCAGGGTGGGACAGAGAGGGGACGGAGGGGAGAGTCCCCCAGAGCCATCTGGTCTGTCTCCTCCATGACAGTTGGGGAAACCTGGGCCACGCGGGGCACACACCTGACCCAAAGAAATGCTACAAAATGGCGAGGGATGCCTTCTTCAAGTATGGTGACCCGGGCTGGTGGCCACGCCTGTCATCCCAGAGGCTCAGGAGGCTGAGGCAGGAGGATCACAAGGTCAAGCCAGCTTGGGGACCTTAGGGAGGCGCTAAGCAAGGCAGCAGAACCCGTCTCCACACACACTAAGTGGGCTGCCGATGGGGCTCGGTGGCTAAGCGCCCGGCACCAAAAGAAAAAAAAGTGTGGTGCTGGTGACCCGGGGTGACTTTGGACTGGGACCTGGGATCTACCGAGCATGTGGACGGCCGCCCCTCTCTCGAGGCCCCCAAACAGCGGCAATGCAAGCCCCGGCAGGGCAGGAGGGTCGCGGTCATTTCCTGCGCATCTGCCAGTGCCCCGCGCAGGCGCGTCCCCGCCTCCGTCACCTCCTAGCCATCGCGTGTGTTGCCAGTCTGTGCGACTGTCCCCTCTCCTCGGGTCTTGGTTTCTGAGATTTCACTTGTGCCAGGCCAGCTGAGGTCCCCGGTGCCACAGGCCAACCCATGCACTTCCCGCGACAGGGCTGTCCTCTCTGTCCTCCCGCGTCTGGCCACAGCGGGTACCTCCCCAGGGCAGGGCTCCGCTGGGGCTCGAGGACGCTGCTCGCCCATTCTGCAGGGAGGAAAACTGAGATGGCCCCTGTCCCCTCACGGCCTCAGCAGGCAGAGTGGCATGGGCATGGGGACAGGCACCCGGATGCAGCCCTGGATGCAGAGGGGGAAACCGAGGCACCTGGGGAGGACACCGCCCAGGGTGCCCGCTGGGCCCTCCACGCCCTGCCCCTCAGCCCAGCCCCAGCCCCTGCCGCCAGCCCCCAACTCCCGCTCTGCACCGAGCCCGGGGCTGGGTCCCCTCCGCAGCTCCCCGCGCAGAGCGGGCTTGGCGGGCAGGTGACACACCCGGCGGGCTCAGGCGGGATGCCAGGCTTCAGCCCTGGCCGCAGCTCTGGTAGAGCCGCGCAGGGCGCAGGAAGTAGGTTCTGGCACACGCGTGTGCACGCACACGCACGCATGCAACGCACACACACGCTGACATGCACACGCACACGCACGCACACCCAGCACACAAACGTGTGCCTCACAGACAGGCGCACACTCACAGCACACTCACAGTCAGCCCTTGCGCACACACCTGCCGCAGGAGACCCGAGGCCCAGCTCCCCCTCCTGCAGAACCATTTAAACGTTACAAAGACGCTATTTTTATCTGGAGGCAAATTCAATTATAGACGCTGACCTTTAAGTCTTCCCAGGCTCACGTGTGGCTGGGCCAGGGCGCGACAGGCGCGCGCGTTCCTGAAGGAGAGGCGTCCTCAAGCCAGGCCCTGGGGGGCGGCGGGCAGCAGAGGCCCGGCCCGGGCGGAGGCCAAGCCCGGACCGGACCCAGCGTGGCCCTCAGAGCCTCAGGAAGTGCCGCTCCAGAGTGGAGGCCAGCGAGGCAGGGAGGGGCCGCCCGGCTGTGGCTAGGCTGTGGGGACACTCTGCCTGCGCTGGCCTGGGCGTGGCCTCGGCTGACCGCCGCCTGCTCTTTCCCACACAAGTTTCCCTGGCGACAGGGGCTGAGTGCGCAGCAGGGGCGGCCCTTGGAGACCGGATCTTCCGCAGAAGCCGACTGGGCGGCGGACTCCGTTTTAGGTGCTGGGGGACAATCCCGGACAAGGAACAAACTGTGTTTTCGAGAGCTGCCGATGTGTGTTTAAAAGGTACCCGAGTAGGACCTGTGCCCGGGAGCTACCAAGCGGTGCAGAAGGGCGAGGCCGGGGCCCGGGTGGCTGGTAGGCCCGGAGCAGCACATTCAAGTGGAGACCCAGGAGGCCAGAGGAGGGAGGCAGAGGGCACAGCCGTGAAAAGGCCCTGGGGCAGGACCCAGCCCGGGTGGCTGGAGCAGAGTGGGGGACGGGACCCGGCAGGTCCCTCAGGACCTTGTGAGCCGTGGAGAGGACTTGAGCTCTGACCCCCAGCAGGTGGGAGCCCTGGGGCCTGTGGACAGGGGAGGGCCAGCACCTGACGGCGGCTCACAGGCGCCCTCCGGTGGCTACTGCAGGGAGGGCAGACGGCGGGGCCCCAGGAGAGCCATGGGGCAGGAAGGCAGCTCTGGTAGGTGGTGCAGGCAGGGGACCCTGACCCTGAAGATGGGGGTCCTGTCGGCTGACCTGGAGGAGGGGCAGCAGGGGTCAGCTGGGGAGGGGCGGGTGGCCATCCTGCTCTGGCTGGTGAGTGGGCAGCCCGGTGGCTCGGGTGGAGGTGTCCAGGAGAGGTGGCCCCTGAAGACAGGTCCGGCAGCCAGGGACGTTAGCAGGTGCTTTAATCCACGGGACAAGGGGCGGGAGATGCTGGGGGGCTGGGCCTAGCAAAGGGACAGAAGGACCAGGGCTCAAGGCGGTGCAGGTGACAGCAGGAGCCACGCGAGGACAGTGTTCCCAGGAGGAGGGACCGGCCACCACCCACCACACACCTCTGTCCATGTGTCCACCATGCACCGTCCTTCCTTCCTTCCATCCACTTGTCCATCCGTCCTGCCACCATCCACATCTCCTGTGGCCTGGAGCACCCTGGAGTTGGTCACCTGGTGTCAAGTCACGTTCTGCACAGCTCACGTCCCCCCGAGCCTCAGTGTCCCCGTCTGTCCAATGGGCTGCACCCCCCCCCAGTCCCTGGGAGGACAGCAGGGCGGGTCACCTGTCATTCCTGCTGCCAGCCCCGGACACGCCCCTCTGAGGGGCTCCTGGACCCTCCGGGCCTGGAAAGGACTGGGGGTCCCCCCGGGACGGCACCCAGGGCCACTGTCCCCTGTTGAAGTGACAGTGAGGCTCGGGCGGCGTCCTCCCACCCCCGGGAAGGCCACTGTTTACAACCAGCCCCTTCACAGCCCGGGAGGAGGTGGGTGGCGGGCAGAGCCAGGACATCACCCGGGTCGGCACTGTGCTGGGGACCGGGTCCCTCCCGGACCCTCGGCTCTGCCCCCAGCGACGTCCTCCTGGCCTCAGGCGGCTGGCTCTGAGATGCCGAGAGGCAGGGAGGACACATGTCCCTCCTCGACCTCCCCTGAGAAGGGGGCCCAGCCCAGGCGCCCGGTGCCCTCAGCTGCGTCACTTGCTCTGAGCCTGGGCCCGGGGACTGGGTGAGTTCTCCAGCCTGGAGACCGCGCCTGCCCCGTCCAGGGGGGGCACCAGGAGCCAGGCACACAGTGACAGCAGGTGGTGTCCCTGCCGCCGTGTCCCTCTGGGTGTGAGGGAGGGGGCCAGTCTCCGGAGGCCGCGCCCCAGCTCAGTGCAGCCTCATCCCAGTGTCTGAGCTGGTGTCACCACCCCTGCTCTGTAGATGGGGACACTAAAGCACAGAGAGGTGAAGCGAGTGGCCCAGGTCACACAGCCAGTCAAAGGCGGAGCAGGGCTTTTAACTGCCACCTCTCGCCTTTCGATGTCCAAAGGGTCACAGGGAAAAAGCAACACCACCCCCTCCCCCGCCCAGGCCACCAGCGTCCCTGCCCGGAGGCGGCCATTCCCACAGTCCTGTGTCCCCTCTAGGGACAGCTCACTCGGCACAGCCCGCCGGTCTGTTCCACGCCATGGCGGTGGCCACTGTCCGGCCTCCTCCGGGGACACTGCGCCTTCCAGCCGATCCCTTCGGGGAGCCAGGATCCGCACTTCCCGGCTGCGGGCGCTGCGGGAGGGACCTGCGCCCTCCGAGGGCCCCCAGGGTGCCCACAACGTGGTGGCCCGTGGCCAGCGTCCGGCCCGCCCAGCCCCGAGAACTCGGGGGCGTCTGCCGGGGCGGAGCCAGGCCCCCGTGTCCCTCCGGCGCGGCCTCTTGCGCTGCGGAGCGTCGAGGTCCGGCCTCCGGGGGGCGGACAGACCCCGCGCATTTCTGCAGCTGAGTAGTCCCCTGGCGAGGACGGGCGCGTTATCTGTCCGTCCGCCCGTGGACCGAGCCTTGGCTCGTGCCCACCCTTCGGTGATGCCCGCGCTGCTGTGACGCCGTGGGGCTTGGCGGGAAGGCCGGCTTGCAGGCCCCGGCCGCCGGAGGCCGCTCCGTGAAAGCCGTGGCAGGAGCCTCGGGGTCTCTCTGTGCCTCGGTTTCCCACCACAGCGAGGCTGGTAGCCGGAGGGAGGCTGGAAAGTGAGGCCGGGGAGGGCCCAGCGCACAGTGAGTGCTCAGTTAACGAGGCCTCCAGGGAGGGTCAGAGCGCCCGGCCTTGCAGCCCTTCCGACGGGACGGAGCTGGGCGCTGGGCGCCGGGTTGGGTCGTTATTTTAGGGGCGATGCCCGCCCAGGAGGACACCGGGGCCTGGAAACGGGAGGGAACAGCCCGCCCACTCCCGTCTGTCAAATGCCCAGGCTAAGTCGCGGGGCTCTGCCCAGGCCCGGATGTCCCCGCTGGCGTTCCTGGGACGTTAGGAGGCCATCTGTCCTTGAACTCGGGATCCTCCTGCCTCAGCCTCCAGAGCCACTGGGACGACAGGCGCGGCCCCGGGGCCCGCCCCGATTCCCCTGGTGGAAGGAGCAGACTGGACTGCAGGGTGCGCCCTCGTCCGCCGTCCCTTGTCCTTCCTGCCTGCAGAGAGGGACAGGGCATGGGGAGGTGGCTTGGCAATCGCTCCCTGGGTGCTGGGCTTGACCTCAGGCCCTGCAGTGGCCCCGGGCTGTGCAGTCCCCCTGAGCAGGGGCCCTGGGAGCTGGAGGGGCTCCGAGCGCCTGCAGGGACACAGGCTCTGGGAAACCCCAGGCAGGACAGGGGCCCTCCGGGTCCTGGGGGGCGGCGGCCCTGAGGGCCTCCCCGAGGAGGTGACATTGAGGCTGCGGCCTGAGATGGAGGAGCCGCCTGGCCGGGGAGCCGGAGGAGGACCGGCCAGGCCAGGCTGAGGCTCCAGTGGGGCCAGAAGGCAGTGCAGGCCAGGGGAGAGGCCAGGGGGGAGGCCAGGGCTGGAGGCCAGGGCTGGAGGCCAGGGGGAAGCCAGGGCTGGAGGTCAGGGCTGGAGGCCAGGGCTGGAGGCCAGGGTGGGAGGCCAGGGGGAGGCCAGGGCGGGCGGAGCAGGTGCAGGAGCTGTTGCTGCCAGGCGGCTGCCAGGAACCTCTGCGCTCTGGAAGTGTCCCCTCCTCCTCTCACTCGCCAAGGTCCATCCAGCCCACGTCAAGTGACAAAGTGGACCTGCCACCTGCGGTCAGACGAGGCTGGAGGGACTCCAGGCGGTGCTGGCAGGTGGCCGGGGCTGTGGTACCGTCCCCTGGGCCTGGCCCGGCGCTGGGCGGAGCAGGTGGCCAGCTGAGCGGGGCCAGGTGTGGGGACAGCCCTGCCCACGAGACCCCGGCTGACCTGTCCCTGCGCCCCTTTGTCCATGCACACCACGGGGCAGTGCGGGGGACAGAACCAGTGTGAGGTGCCACCAGGGCGTCCCCAGGTGTGGGGACAGAAGCCTGCGTCCCTGGACTCGCTGCCATGAGGGGTCAGGAGGGCGTCACCCGCCAGACCACGCCACCTCCAAGACGGCCCCCGGGAGGGGAGCATGGGCCCGGGCGGGTGGCACTGCCGTCCTGCGCTGCGGAACGGGGTCGGGGGTCTCCCTGGGCAGGAGCTTGTGGCCCCCGCAGCTGCCCATGGCCAGCCGAGGACAGCACTCCCCCAGGGCCGTCCCCAGGCATCACGGCCTCCCCCTCCCCCGAGGCTCAGGATCCTGCTCAACGAGGCCCCAGGGCCACCCCCAGGGACCTGGTTTTCACTGCTGTGTGACTGTCACAGCCTGTGCTGGCCACCTGTGTCCCTGCTTGCCTGGCCCCCCTCCCCACAGGCAGGGCCGAGGGCCTGGAGCCCTGGCTGACGCTCGAGCAGCGAGTTCAGGGCCAGGTCCAGGGGCCTCCCGTCCAGCCGGGCCCGGGGCAGCACAGGGACCGGGGACACAGGGAGCCGAGGCCCGGGAGGACGGGAGGGATGGAGGCCCTGCCCGGGAGGACAGGCGAGCAGGACCTCAACCCAGCAAGACCCCGTGCGGGCAGACCCCTGGGGACCTGCCCCCACTGCCTTGCGCAGCCCCGTGACCTTGCTGTGACCTTGCTCCATCTTGGCACGGTGCCCTCAATGCGCTGGGCTCAGCTCCGGGGCAATCACACTGTCTTTGTGGCCGTCCTGCCCAGCCACTCCCGAGGGCCCGGCACGCACAGCTGCGGGCAGTCTGCGTGTCGAGGACAGGAAGCGTCTGTCTTTATGTTCCGGCATTAACTAGCCTCGATCTTATTGAAATGGCATTTTCTTTCTCCTCCTAATAACCAAGAATGTATTTTTTTTTTTAGCTCTTCCGCCATCACTTGACTCTCAAGTCTGAATTGTCTGAAGGCTGAAAGTATTTCTGACTACATCCACATTTTAACATTTTCCTCTCCTGAAAGAGGAAAGTAGGAAAGAAAAAGAAAAATGAAAAAATGATTGTATTAACAGGAGTATGGAGAGCAAAAAAGGGGAGGTGATTATCATGCTTTCGCTGCTTGCTGCCTCCCTAGGAGGAGGGTGTCCAACTCCAAAACACTGAAAAACGAAGCATAAAGAAGCAGCATTCAGGATAGGGTATAACATGTAACACATGCCATTTGTTTAGTTTTCATTCACAGCATTTATGGAGCACCCAATGTGTATTGGGTGCTGTCCGAGGTGCTGAAGCGACACACATGAGCAAAGCAGGTAATGATCCCTGCCTTGAGGGACAGAGAATGTGTGGGGAGACGGTGTCCAGTTAGTGACACGATTAACCATGATGGTTACCAATTTCAGTGCGAGCTACTCAGCAAGGGAGAGGCGGCCAGAAGAGGACTTCAGCTGACTCCTCAGCTGTGCCGCTCTCTGCCTGCCTGCTCCATCCTCCCCTGCACGGAGCCCCTGCTGCCCCAGGACCTTTGCACATGCTGTTCTCTTTACCCAGAATGCTCTCCCCACCCGGGTCCTTGTGGGTCCAGGAGTGAGGGGCCCCGTGCAGTCCTGAGCAGGGCCATATTTGGGGCACACAAGGGACAACCAAGGGGCCAAGGAGCCAGAGGAGAGAGGAAGGACCAGCATCCACATGTTGACCATGTGCTGCGTGCGTCCTCAGTTGAGCGCTGGGGCCGCCGGGCAGCCACGGAGGGGAACACTCCCCACCCCTTACAGAGGAGGACACAGGTCAGGGACACAGGACTCCCAGGCCACAGGGCTGCCGAGTGCTGTGTCTGGCTGGGACCCAGGGATCCCTCTGTTGTACCAAATTCCAGTCCTAAGGGCCCGGCGGAGAGGAGGGCGGAGGGAAGGGGGGGTGGGGAGGGGAGGCCGAGGGGAGAGGCCTCCAAACGGCCTCCAAAGTGGGGGGCGGCCCACGCGGGGCTGAAGGGGCGCGGCCAGCAGGGAGGAGGAAGGTGCGGCCCAGCTCCTGGCACCGACCAACAAGGGGACGCTGTGTCCTGGACCAGGCCAGGCCAGTCGGGTCAGGGCCGGGTCTGCTCCCAGGTCCCCTGCTTTCCAGGGGCCTTGGACCCCAGGGCACGAGGGACCCCAACCCGAGAGCCGGCCTCAGCGAGCTCCCTGTGTGCCCAGTTTGCGGGTGACCCTGGGGGCCCTCAGGCCTCTGTGCCCCTCCTGTAACAGGCGGAAGCCGCACACCCAGGACTGCGAGGGGTCACCGGAGGCGGCAGGGACAGCCCCTGGATCAGCGGCTGTGCCCAGGCGGGCACCCTGCGGCTCCTGTTGGCTTGGGGCAGCTCCTCATGTCCCCAATGGTCCGGGGGACTCCTGCTCCGGTGCTCAGGGGACACGTGGCCCTGTGCAGTGTGTGGCAGGTGCTGGCGCCCAAGTCATGGCCTGGGCACAGGGGACCCGGGCCACCCTCGGGGTCCCAGAGGACTCTAGGGCCACGGCCTGGTGGATGCAGCTCCAGGGTCAGAGCCCAGCGGGGTAGCAGTGGCCTGGCCAGCAGGCCGCCTGTCCCAGGAGGCCCACAAGGGGGCCACCCCATCTCCCCTCTCCTGTCCCCAGGTCCCAGCCTTGCCCCCCAGAGCCAGCCACACTGCAGCAGAGGGCGCCTGTGGCACTAAGCAGGCCTCCCTTGCCCACAGCCCCGTGGCGCCCGCCCCCCTGGGGTCAAGGCCCCACGGCCACATGCCGGCCTGACCTGTAGCAGAGCCACAGGTCACGACAGCCCCTGGGGACCTGTGGGCTGGGGTCCGTCTGTGGCTGGGGAACAGCTCCCATCCCGGCGCCCAGGCGGCCGCGGTGGGTAACTGGGGCACTTGTTTCCCGTTTTATCGCGGCAACATCTCCGCTGCCAGGACCAACCTGATCCCACTCACCCCGCCACCATGGCTGAGCCAGCGAGGACGGCGGGGGAGGGCAAGGGGGAGGGCGGGGGAGGGCGGGGGGAGGGCAAGGGGGAGGGGGGGAGGGCAAGGGGGAGGGCGGGGGAGGGCAAGGGGGAGGGTGGGGGGAGGGCAAGGGGGAGGGCGGGGAGGGCAAGGGGGAGGGTGGGGGGAGGGCAAGGGGGAGGGCGGGGAGGGCAAGGGGGAGGGTGGGGGAGGGCGGGGGGAGGGCAAGGGGGAGGGCGGGGGGAGGGCAAGGGGGAGGGCGGGGGGAGGGGGGAGGGCGGGGGGAGGGCAAGGGGGAGGGCGGGGGAGGGCGGGGGAGGGGGGGAGGGCGGGGGAGGGCGGGGGAGGGCGGGGGAGGGGGGAGGGCAAGGGGGAGGGCGGGGGAGGGCGGGGGGAGGGCGGGGGAGGGCGGGGGAGGGCAAGGGGGAGGGCGGGGGAGGGGGGAGGGCAAGGGGGAGGGCGGGGGAGGGCAAGGGGGAGGGTGGGGGAGGGCAGGGGGAGGGCGGCTCTGTCCTGCAGGACATCCTGTCTGCTGAGTACTAGACACGAGTGCCTACTGTGTGCCAGGCGCTGGCCTGAGAGCCGCGGGCTGCGCAGGGCCAGCTGGTGACCTTCAGGCCGCTGCGATGCCCCGGGGACAGGCCCCCAGTCTGCCTGCAATCCTGCGCCCCAGGTGTGTCGGGGAGAGGTCCGGGTGGCCCTGGCCCCATGGCCTCCCCGCTCTCCTGCCTGAGTCCCCGACCTGCCCGGCAGCCACTCCCTTCCGCTGGTTTCCAGGGCTGCAGGACGCCCCAGGCCTGGCGCGCGGCAGTCCACTCCCAAGATGCACCGGGGCAAGGCACGCAGAGCCGAGAGTCACCCTCGGGCCACCGCCTCCCAGCATCAGCCACCGTCCCCTGGACGGCTGAGCCGGCCCCAGGCCCCGGCTCTCAGGGACTGGAGACCAAGGGCTGCAAGAGACAGAGGCACATCCTGCAGGGACAGGCGGAGGTGGCCAGGGCACGGTGGGGCACAGGGGGCAAGCCGGCCCAGGGGACGGGGCAGGCCGCTTCCGCAGCCATGCTGAGCTGGGCCCCAAACGTGTCCCCTGGCCGCGGGTGACTTCACCCCAGCCTCAGTTTCTTCTGTAAGATGAGCCATGCCGACGTCCACCCTGGCTCAGGGCCACCCAGTCTCGATCATTGACCCTTTCCCCAGACTTCAGTCCTCGGGGACACCAATGTGCTTCCGCAACGATGTCACTTCAGGCTGTCCACTCTGTCGCTTCCTCGGCCTCTGGTGTCACTGACTCCAAGCCGAGACTAGGGTTCGATGAACAGACACAGGGGACAGTGGGGAGGCCGGCTCAGCCGGGGGTGGTGCTGCCCACCAGGGGTCTCTCACTCGCCAGCAGGTGCTGGTGATCAGGTGCTCGGGACCCTCAGAGCGCCCACCTGGTGACTCCCTGGAAGCAGACTGAGAAATGAACAGCTTGGGTGGACAGTGACGCCCGGCTTGCCCACTGCACGGAGCCTGGGACCGTCTGGCCCCCTGGTGAGAAGCTTGAGGCCCCAGGGGGCGGCCCAGAGCCCCCACCATGGTGGTCCTGAAGGCAAGGCCAGCTGCGCCTCAGCCCTGCTTGTGACATCCAGTACAGCCCTGCCCAGTGGACAGTCCAGACAGCTGGCAGGAGGTAGAAGGTCCTGATCTGTCACCACTGGGTCCCCAGGGAAGGCCCCGGAGCGCCCTGGTCTCCGGGTGCCGCAGGCAGTGCCTCTCCAGGCAGAAGCTGGGTTTAAGGGCCGGCCCAGCACCTCCAGCGGTGTGTCTTGGGGACTCCACGGCCCGTAATCATCCAGGAGCACTTGGGGTCGCTGTTAGCCATCAGCCCTGCCACCTCCAGAGACAGCTCTTGTGGTTAAAAGGTGTCGCCAGAGGAGATGCGCTGCAGTCCCCGCCCGGGGCCCCAGAGTGTGGCCTTGCGTGGAGACAGGGTTCTCAGAGGTCAGCGGTCAAAACGAGGCCTGGTCCCACATGACTGGTGTCCTTACCCAAAGGGGACCCGGCACAGAGAGGCACCCGGAGGAGCTGGGAAGGTGCCGTCTGCAGGCCAAGGGCGAGGCCCAGGGGGCGCGAGGCCCACGTGTCCATTCACCCTCCTCCGAGCCGGGGGCGGTGCTGACAGGCACCCCGGGAACCATCCGGGTCTAGCCAAAACTCAGTGCGAGGAGCAGAGGGTCCCCAGGGGCTCCCGGCCGTGCTGTCCTGCTGCCCAGCGCGGGCACTGCAGTGCCTCCCCGCGAGGCTGCGCGGCCTCCTCCCTGGCTGGTGGGGGCTGTGGCCAGGCGGAGGTGACCGGCGGCCAGCAGGTTGCGCCCGGCAAGGCCCCGAGCGCCCCAGCAGGAAGCGGGACCGTCCGGTCTCCCTGATCTGCTTGTTTTGCGGCGGCGAGCCCGCCATGGCGGCGGAGGTTGTGCTTCACGTGTGCGAGGCCCTGGGGACCCTGACCTGGGTCAGTGTCCAGCGCGCGCGGGCACACGATCACACACTCATACTCACACACACACACACACACACACACACACTCAGGCAATGATCCAGGCTCACGGGAAATGGCAAACTTAATCCAGAGCTGTCCCTGTCCCCTGCGCCCGGCGTGTGTGTCCCCTGTGAGCGTGGAGCCCGCGGAGCCAAGGGAGCCGCAGACCTCGAGCTGCACATGTCCATCTGCCCCCTCACCCAGGGGCCCCAGCCCCCCACTCCCCGCGGGGCCCTCCACCACGCGGCCTCCTCCGGGTGTACGGAGCCGCCGCCCCGAGTGCGAGGCCTAAAGAAGCCCTTTTCCAGGACCGTGTGGACTGCCCGCCCCACTCGTGGGCATTTCTCCACGAGAAGCTGAGCCGTCATCCACGAGGGACCCCAGCAGACGCTCACGATCCGGCCCACGAAGGACGCTCTTCTGCGAAAGCAGCGCCCTCGCAAAGACAGCAGCGCCATGCCGCCGCCGGAGCAGGACAGGAAGGATCCAAGTCAGGATTCAGTTGTTCGAGCAGAGGCAAGGTCTGCAGGGCCGAATCAGGGGAGGGGGCACCCTTGTGGCACCTGCAGAGGAGGCGAGCGAGTTCTCTCCTCACCCTCCTTTCTCAAATTTGGGTTATGGTAAATGACCTGGGCTTATACATATGCAAATATATGCACTCACTTATATTAAAACAATGAAGAATAAGCCAAAAACTTGCATTAAAGGTAGAATATGATAGGTAATGTCTTTGCCTTGCTTTTTGTCACAGAGCATTTTGGAAGCCTTTCCCATGAGTCCTCCTAACTGATCCTTTTCACAGCTGTATAATACTCCCCTGTACAGTTGTACCTCGTCAATTCAGTCCCCTTTACTTGTATATTTGGGATTAAAGTATTACCAATATAATCCCCTGTGATGTGGCTGTGTCAATCCTCACAAATGGGCAGAGTGAGGTAGGTTCCATTAGGCCTGATTTCAAGGCTAAGGAACTGAGGTTCACAGAGTGACATTCACAACTCACTCAGAGTGGCACATTGTAGAGGTATCAGAGCCAAGACTTGAAAATAATGGCTTTATTGAGATACAATTCACTCAACATCCATGCATACACTATCACCATCACCGATGGCTACGATCTAATTTTAGAACATCTTCATCACCCCAAAAGACCTCTAAAACAAGCCATCAACTAATTCAGTGTTTTGAAACTTTATGCTTAAAAGAGTTTTAACTCTTTTAAGATCACAATCCATATTAACTTTTGCATAAGGTGTGAGGAGGTATCCGAGTGTATGTTGTGCACGTGAAGATCCTGGAGTCCTGCTTCATTGGACTGCTCTTTCCCCATTGAATTGACCATCTTGATGGAATCCGTCAGCCATAGATGTGAAGATTTATTCTGGACTCTCAATTCTGCTCCACAATCTGTTTCGGTTTCCTAGTGTCTTGTGGGTACTGATATCTTGTGGGTACTATAGCTTTGTGATAAGTTCTGAAACCAAAGAGGTGTGAGTCCTACATCTTTGTTCTTCTCCAAGATCCTTTGGTGTTCTGAGACCAGACTCTTGAATTCACCTCTGCATTTTAGGACCCTCTTATCAATTTCTGCGCCGGAGCTGACGGGGATTTTGGTAGGGATCGTGTTGAGCCTGTCTGTCAACTGGAGAGCGGTGCCACCTTAGCAATAGGATTTCTCTAGTCCATGAACATGGGACGGCTCTCATTAGCTCCTGTCCACAGTTGCCGCTGTATCCAGGGCATCAGTTTTGTCCTGGTTTTGGTCAGTGACTTCCTGAATATTTTATTCTTTTTGATCAAACGCACATGGAATTGGTTTCTTGAATTCACTTTTCTTGTCTGTTGTCACTCCATAGGAAATGCAGTGGACTTTTGTGTATCCATCTCATATCCTGTAGGCTTTCTGAATTCATTGACCACTTCTAATAGCTCTTTAGGGCTCCGTGGGGTTTTCTGTTTATCTGAAGTGTGCAGAGCATCGTCACGCACAGCCGAGGTGGCTTAACCCCTTCCTTTGCGGTGCAGACGCTGCTTTTCATTTTCTTGCCTGTTTCCTGGTTGTAACCTCCGTTCAGCACCAGGCAGGTCAGAGGTGGGGAGTGGACGTCCTTTTCCTCTCCTGACCTTGGGGGGAACATTCCGTCCGTCTTTCACTCTCGGGTGTTCCGCTGGCGGGAGAGGCCCTTCACCAGGTCGGGCAAGCTCCCTTCTGGTCCTGGCTTCTTGGAGTTTGATCATGAAGGAACGCTAATGTCATGGCCAGGATTTGAACCTATGGCTCTCTGACTTGGAGCCCCCAATGATCACCCAACAGGCTGAATCAGCGGGTCCCCGTAGGAACCCCCAGTGGAGGGCAGTGCACGCAGGACTCAGCCAAGGGGATGCTGCGACCTGTCTTGGACATTTGAGGTCGGGTTACAGTGAGAGCCAGAGAGGAAGAGGAAGGAGGAGGAGAGAGACCGAGAGAACATTTATAATTCTTTAAAAATGTTTTCAGTTGTGGTTGGGCACCAGACCTTTATTTTATTCATTTATTTTTTAATGTGGTGCTGAGGATCGAGCCCAGGGCCTCCCTGTGCGAGGCGAGCGCTCTGCCCCCGAGCCCTCCCCGGCCCCAGCCCGAGAACACCCAAAACCCGAGGTGACGTGAACCACATTTAATTTGAGAGATGCGCAAAGATGGTGGAATCTGGCTCGGGGCGACATCGCAGGGCCCGTGTCTTGGCCCTCATCTCACGGGGACAGAGGCTGGCTCCACGCGGGCAACCCTGCCCTTGGCCGTGAGGAATCCTGTTTGTGTTCGGTGACGGTGACAGGCGGCTGATGGCTCCCCTGGAGCCATCTCAACTAAGACACAAAGGCGCTAATCACCAGGTCCCAGAGTCGCTGAGGCAGAGGTGGCACTGGCACAGCCAGGAGCAGGTGGGGCGCGACACCCCACGCCGGGCATGCTCATCGGCTGCACTTCTCACCCACCAGTGAGTCACGCGCTCGGTGAGCGCCCTCGGTGCAGACTCCATTCCCGGGAGCTGGGCCCCCACCACCCCAACTCCACTGCTTTCCTGGGTGGGCACCTTCGGGGCGCAGGCCTCGCGCCCGCCCCTTCCCTCCCAAGGCCTGGGCTGGCGGCAGCCACGTCCTGAGCACCTCCTGGGCCGTGAGCCGGCCACAAGGTCAGGCCAGAAGGTCCTGCCCCTGCCGGCCCCCTGCGCACCAGGCCAGCGCTGCCTGGCTGAGTCACACCAGCCCTCCTTGGGTGGCTCCTCAGGGTCACCTTGCCTTTCCTGGTTTCCCATCAACAGTGGCCACAGGTACCGGGCAACCCCTTCTTGGTCCTGTACTGGGTGCCAGGTGACAGGCAGTTCGTCTCACTGCCCTGGGGACCCTCAGGGAGGGACTGTTACGTCCCCATTAGCAGGCAGGGAAACAGGCACAGCCAGGGTGAGGGACAGACAGGAGACAGTGCAAATCCTGACCGTCACCTAGTGCCACGTGCCCATGAGGTGGGGGCGCTGGGAAGAGCCCTGGGCCTGGCAGGTGAGGACCGGCCTCGGGAAGAGAGGAGGAGGCTGGCCAGGCAGAGGGAGCCCCGCGGGGGGCCCAGCAAGGAGCCTGTGGCTGGAGCAGAGGGCAGGCGGGGAGAGGAGGAGGCAGGGGACAGGCAGGGCGGCGGGGCCTCCGGGTGGGCACGACAGGCTCCCGCCCAGTGAGACTCTGTCTCCTCGCTGGGCTGTCACCTCCAGGGCTACCGTGTGTCGAGTGCTTGGTTTACTTTTGTGTCCAGAGCGCCGGGCTGAATGGCTGCGCCCTGGCCACGCGCTGCACTGTGGCTCACGGCTGTCTTCCTCACTGCTCACAAGGACCCCCAGAGGCAGAAGGGGTCCCCCCCTTCACAGACGGCGCAGGCTGGGCTCAGCGTCCCAGCAGCTGGGTCAAGCTTGTGCTCCTAACAGGGCTCACACCACATTCAGCCCGTCCAACGCAGCCTTTACTCTGCTTCTGAGGGGTATGCAAGGCTTGAGCACTTAGTGTATACAGGAAACCAAGCTGTTTGCGCGACTCCCCGTTTCTCCTTCCAGATGGAGCTGTGACCCCATTGCTTGGATAAAAAAACTGAGGCCACTGTCCAGGGCCAGGTCAGGGTCACCCAGCCAGGAGGACAAATCACTCTACCAGCCTGGCCACTGCACGGGCTGCTGGGAACCTCGAAGCTTAATTCAGGTTGCTTGTTGATGACTCCTCCTCTCCCCTCTCCTCCCTGTTGGTGACTTCCGCCATCGTTTTGTTACCTGGGTTAACGCGGTTTGTTTATCTGTATCTTTGCCCTGGAATGACCCCAGGATTTTGAAGGAAAACCCTATATTCTAAAGGTGACCCTCAGTGGCGCAAAGCCCTCTCCCAGAACACCTCCAAGAACTAAATGGCTCCGACTCGCTGGAAAACGGCTAAGGGTGGTGTCTGGGATCCTCGGGAGCTCCCCGCCCCCCTCTTTCTTATTCAAGCTTTAGCTATAATCAGGGCAGGCTCAGGCGGCAATCCACCCATAGACCTCCCTGTGAGAGGCGCTGCCTGGCTCCGCTTCTCAGGTTGGAGCCGAGACCCAGGAGGCCAGCCCATTTTACAGGTGGGAAAAGGCAAGCCCAGGGCCCCACGCAGCTGGGCTCCCCGCTGTCTGTCCTGGCGCCGGCAGCACGGGTTGGGGATCAGGTCGGAAGCCCTGCTCCTGTACTGCCCATCCACGCACTTACCCATTCAACTCATGCGTGCCCATCACACTCTAGTGTGACCAGAATCAAGAGGACAATGGGACAGAGAGGAGTCTGGGGTGACTGGTGGTAGACCGGGGCCAGCTTCTCCCAGGCACTAAATATTTGAGCAGAAATTGGAAAGAAGGCAGGACAAAGACCTTCGGGGCAGTGCATTTCGGCCGGCCGAGGAAGGGCGAAGGCAAGGCCCTGCAGAGGAGCGAGCAGGCTGCACGAAGCTGCTTCGTCTGGAGCACAGGGTCTCAGGGACAGGCCCGTGAGAGCCAAAGCGGGCAGGCCAGGCGCCAAGAGGAGGCTGGATCTCCTTGGAAGGGCACCGGGGAGCCACGGCAGAGACTAGAGTGGCGTATGGCAAGTGCCATGGCCTTTGCTCCAAGCGCCCTGGGAGTTCTCTGCCGATAGCGGCAGCAGGGGCTCCGAGAGCCAACGCCGCAGCCCACGTGTCCCGCGAAGCCGGGCGCCCTGCGCCCCACGTGCTCCCGCGGAGCTTTAAAGGCCCCGGGACCACGTGACCCCGTCGCACTGCCTCATTGGCGGGAGGGCGTGGCGGCTGCGCGGCTGCGCATTGACGCGCGCGGACCGGTCCCTCCCCGGCCCCGCCCCCGGCCGGCGGCGGCGGCGGCGGAAGGGATGACGTCACCGGCTGGGGGGGCGCGCGAGCCGGCGCGAGGGGAGCGCGAGCCGCAGTGAGTGTCCTCGCGCCGCCCGCCCGGCAGCCCGGCCGGCGCGCGCACGCCGCGAGCCGCTGGCGCTCGGGCTCCGCTCGGATCCCATGCCACAGCCAGGATGTGAAGCGGGGCAGAGCCGGGGGAGCCCAGCCCAGCCAGCCTCCAGGTAACGGGCACGGGCGGCGGGCGGTCGCCTGACGAAAACGCCCCGGCGCTCCGCGGGGGTCTCGGAGCCGCGGAGTGGGCAGCGCGCCGGCTTTGTGCCGGGGAAGCTGCCCGGCCATTGTGCTCGGAAGATGCTCCGCTGCGCCGGCCGCACGTCCAGCCGCCGGCCCCGAGCGCTGCGTCCGAACAAAGCCCCGAGGGCTGCGCCGCCGGGCAGGGGCCGCGGGGCCGGCGGGCGGGGGCCGCGCCGCCGCGGGGAGGGGGCTGGG